GCGGAGTCGCTCTCATTGACGCGCGAGGCCGCGTTTGTGGCCGTTGTGTGCATGGCGCAGTTTTGCACCCGTTGGTCAAAGCCCTCCCCCCCAACCACCACACCCAAAAAAAAAAAAAAAAAAAACATGGATTGACGGCTAACACCCTGCAGAGGCCGCCTACATGGGCACGCTCGTGCTCCTGCGCACCATTGGCGAGAGCTTCCACGTCGACTCGCCGCCGCGGCTCGCGTGGCTCGTGGGCGGCTACTCGCTCACGGTGGGCACCTTCATCCTCTTCTCCGGGCGGCTCGGCGACATCTTTGGCTACAAGCGCATGCTGCTGACGGGCCTGGCGTGGTTCTCGCTGTGGTCGCTGGTGGCCGGGCTCAGCGTCTACAGCAGCTACACGCTGGCCGTCTTCAGCCGCGTGCTGCAGGGCATCGGCCCGGCCATCTGCCTGCCCAACGCGCTGGCCATCCTGGGCGCCTCCTACGCGCCGGGCCACCGCAAGGCCATGGTGTTTGCCTTTTTCGGCGCCGTCGCCCCGATCGGCGGCGTCGTCGGCGGCCTCTTTGCGTCGCTGCTGACGCTGGCCTGGTGGCCGTGGGCGCTGTGGGCCATGGCCGCGCGCGCTGGTCGGCGTCGTCGCCCTCGTGCTCTTCAACTTTGCCTGGACCCAGGCGCCCGTCAGCGGCTGGGGCACGCCCGTCGTCGTCGTGCCCCTGGTGCTGGGCCTGCTGCTCTTCGCCGCCTTTGCCGTCGTCGAGTTCCGCCTCAGCCCCAGGCCGCTGCTGCCCCTCGACACGGTCAGCGCCGACGTGGCCTTTGTGCTGGGCGCCGTGGCCTGCGGCTGGGCGTCGTTTGGCGTCTGGACCCTGTACCTGGTGCAGCTGCTGCAGGACGTCCGCGGCCTGTCGCCGCTGCTCACCACGGCCTGGTTCCTCCCCGTCGTCTTCTCGGGCGCCTGCGCCGCCGTCGTCACCGGCAAGCTGCTGGGGCCGCTGCAGGTCCGCCCGCCGTACGTCATGGCCATGGCCCTGTCCGCCTTCACCCTCGGCTCCGTCCTGACCGCCACGACCCCCGCCGACCAGGTCTACTGGGGCCAGACGTTTGTGTCCATGATTGTCATGCCCTTTGGCATGGACATGAGCTTCCCGGCCGCCACCCTGATCCTGTCCAACACCGTCCCCAAGCGCCACCAGGGCGTGGGCGCGAGCCTGGTCAACACCGTCGTCAACTACGGCATCGCCCTGGGCGTGGGATTCGCCGGCACCGTCGAGGTCCAGGTGCACGGGGACGGAGCCACGCCCGACGCGCAGCTGAGGGGGTTCAGGGGGGCTCTTTATATGGGCGTTGGCTTGGCGGGCCTGGGCCTGGCCGTCAGCCTTTTGTTCGTGGCGCGGGAGCGAATTTGGAAGAGAGGGGGACGCGCGTGAGCTTTTGTGTACATGATGTGACAGAAATAGGTACCACACGGCGTTTGTCTTCCCACGTATATAGTCAATGTGGACTGGTGTGATGCATCCATCAACCAGATGCTGTCGACGTTTCTTGGCAGCCACATGTCCGCAAGTAATAGACGATCCCCAATCCGTTTCTGTATTCGGCCCTGTTGACATGTAAACCAAGTCCGTCGACACAAGTCACCAATCACCGCAACTTGACCAAGTCGATTCAACCAGCATTCTATTCTGCCCGCAAATCACCATGATATGCCTTGATACCATCTATTCCCAGAGTAACAAAAAGCGCAAACATTTCCGACTCCCAGGCCCTCACCCAAACACCACCGTCTTGGAGCCGTTCAGAAACACCCTCCGGTCGGCATACCACCTCACAGCCGCAGCCAGCACCTGGCTCTCGACATTGGACCCCTCCTCAACCAGCTCCTTGGGGTCCATGCTGTGGTCGACGCGCGCGACGCGCTGCTCGATGATGGGGCCCTCGTCCAGGTCGGCCGTGACAAAGTGCGCCGTGGCGCCGATAATCTTGACCCCGCGCTCGTACGCCTGGTGGTACGGCTTGGCGCCCTTGAAGGACGGCAGGAAGCTGTGGTGGATGTTGATGATGCGGCCCGACATGGCCTCGCAGAGCGTCGGCGAGAGCACCTGCATGTAGCGCGCGAGCACCACGAGCTCGATGCCGTGCCGCCTCACGAGCTCGAGGACCTGCGCCTCCTGCTGCGCCTTGGTGTCCCCTGTCACGGGGAGGTGGTGGAACTCGATGCCGTAGGATGCGGCGAGGGCCTTGTAGTCGGCGTGGTTGGAGACGATGACGGGGACCTGCGAGGTTGGGGAGGGGTGTGTTAGTTGGTGCATCTTGCCCTTTCTTCTGGTCTTTTCTTCTCCTTCTTTTCTGCTTCCTTCTCGTAGAGTTGACAGTCAACACGGGACGTTGGAAACAAACCTCAATCTTCAGCTGCCCCGTCTTCATGCGGAACAGCAAGTCGTTGAGGCAGTGGCCAATCTTGGACACCATGATGAGGACCTTCATCTTCTGCGCCACGGGCCGGATGTCGTACGTCATTTCGTACGCGGCCGCCAGCTCGCCAAACGGCTGCGCCAGGTGCTCGGCGGTGATGGAGTCGGCCTTGGGCCCAAAGTGCACGCGCATGAAGAAGCGCCTGGACACGGGGTCGCTGAACTGCTGCAGGTCGAGCACATTGTGGCCGTGGGAGGCGAAGACGGCTGTGACGGCGTGGATGATGCCGGGCTTGTCGGGGCACGAGAGCGTGAGGATGTAGTCGTTGTCGTTGGGCATGGCGGGCGGGCGAGCGAGGGGGGTTCTTCAGTTGACGGCAGCAATGTCAATATCGCAAAGGGGAACCATGACCGGTTGAACAGGAACCGTCGAGATGACTCAACCGTCGTCGAGATTCCTGGTGGAGCTCTGTTTTTTTTGTGTGTGCTGTCCCGCAGCTTGTCCAACATGCCGAATGCCGATTGCCGTGGACTGAGCGTTGCAGAGACGGTTAGCCCACCTCGGGATCCCGCGAGTCATCAGAAGAATCAAGGCCAAATGGCTTCGGCCGTTTCTGCCATGTCCTCCCCACTGCGTCTGCCAAGATTAGGATTAATTACGACTCCAACAAGTCCCAGTGTCGTCTTCTGCGCTCCCGTTTCCCTTTGCTTTTTCAATTTTCGCATATGTCGTGCTTCCCCCGCCATCCTGAATTCCGTTTTATTTTTATCTTAGGCTCGCAGCAGTATGACGTCATGCCGCACGTCGATCGAATCCCCCCATCCCTTTGAATGTGCGAAGGTGCAGCTTTTGTAGCGGACCGGGGTATGGGCCAATAAGAAGCCAATTATTAAAAGGTACCTAACCACACTAAGAAATTATATGATGATATAAGTACTAGTAATCTTTGGATTTACACAAAGCTACCTCGCACTTATCACAGCCGAATTGGGCGTACGGGGCCTTTTTGGCCCTATTCCCGGAGACCTCTGTAAGCGCTGTTTTTTGGCTTTGTGACCTAATTTGACCACATTGAAAGCCTTGACAAGCGTGGCATCGAGCCCTTTTCCCTCGTCGGACAAGATTATGCTGTGATAAGGGCGTAAAAATGTCGCCCGCCTGAAATCTCTGCCGGCTCGAGGCAAACAAATAAGGCATTATCGGCTGTTGAGATACTCGCGATGTCACTTTTTGGCTCCATTATGAAGGCCGGAATTATTAGTATGATAATTTTGGTGTGGAAGGTTTAGTGGCTGACCTTGTTGCAAGAAAGGTACCGGCTAGGTATCGCAGAAAAAGTGGGTCCGTTACAAAAGCTGCACCTTCGCACATTCAAAGGGATACGAAACATGTTTTATCCTGATCTGCATGGGCTTGTTCTGCTGTTCCTCATTTTTCTTTTCAATTCGCGGTTGCTATATTTAGACAGCCTCCTGTCAGCCAGTCGCACATTTAGCCGAGAATGTCAAATTAACCGCCGCATGGGCAAGGTGAAATGCGTGTAGCAAATCCAGTAAGATGTCTTCTGCCGCTTGTGACAGGTATCAATGATAAAATATGTATAATAGAATATAACATGACAAACTCTGGATCTTAAATAGACGTCTAGAACTTCCCCTCTCTTGTTCACAGTTAGGTACCGACTGACTACCTTAATCACCCACGGCCCGGTGCAGATCCCACACGGAAACCCAAAGGCAGAAACGCGTATCCGTCAGCGCCCAATCTTACACCCTGCTAGAGGGTGAAGAAGAAACCCCACGTGGTTTGAGATTGCCCTGGGCGTCGGCGGATTTACAGGCTTTTGCGTTGAATTACAAATAAAAGGATCAAAGACAATATAAACTCCAACCAAGAGCGTGAAACAGTAAATGCCCGTACTTGTTTACATCACGAGCCATGCCCTACTACTTCAAACACGCTGTGTTTTCCACACAAACTTCAGCCATTCCATTGATTCCCACACCCCGACCCAAAACCCAAGCCAACCACCATTGCGCCTCATATGCACCAACTTCACCACCCCGACTACTGCACAATCCTCACCGTCCTGCCCACCTCCCCCCTCTCAACCTGCGCAACTCTCCCCTCCACCGTAGCCCAAATCCTGTCCGCCACCTCCTCCACGCTCCCTGCCGCATCAACCACCACCAGGTCCTCCTCCTCCTGCCTCCACTGCGCGCCATCCAGTCCCCCTAGCTCGGCCAGCATCTCCTGTCCCTGGATGTCCTTGCCGCCCATGCTAAGACCCCAGAACAGCTCCCGCACCCTCCTCTGCATCTCCGCCTTCTCGTAGAGCTCGCCGCCCCAGCCGCCGCGCGCCCTGGCCGTCTCCTCGTCGAGATCCAGGAACAGGACTAGGTCTGGACGCGGCAGCCCGCGCTCCGGTGCGCGCGCCCACGACAGCGGCAGCGAAGGGTTAAGCTTGGCGGCAGAGTACACGATGCCCGAGTGGTAGAAGCGGTCCGATATCACGATTGTGCCCGCCGCAACGAGGGATTTGATCTGGTCGCTGGGTCAAAAGTCAGCAGGTGAGGCTCCCGGTGAGTAACGTCCCGCGTATAAATCGGCCACGGACAGCGTCATGTTTTCGTGCGCGCGAGCTTAACAGTGCACACTCTTGCGAAGCAAAGCTTGGACGATTCCGCACTTCAAGTGTCATGATGGCTCGCCACGGCGCGGGGGTTGAGGTTTTTTTCTTCTTCTTTTTCACTCACACTGCCTCCCAGCGATTCGCACTAAATAGTAAATGAATAACGTGGTCCTCCATTTGCACATCGCTCTTCAAATACGCATCAATCATCTGACCGATTGGCGTTGTCCTGTCTATAGACGGTTAGCACGCCCCCTGTCGATATCGTCCTGAGCCAAAAACACCATGACACAGGCACGGCAACTAAACAGCCAAACGAATAGACCCATGGGATCAATATGCCCCCTAAAAAAGAGAGGGAAAGAATGAAAGAAAATGAAAAAGGGGAAAGGGGGGGGGAGAGAGAAAGAGGCCTACCAGGAAACCTCATCACCCTGACCTTCTTCCCCTCCTCGACGAACCGCTGCTCCAAAAGCTTCACCTGCGTCGTCTTGCCGCTGCGGTCCAAGCCCTCCAGCACGATGAAGGCGCCGCGTTTCACATCAGACGGTGTATCCGAGGCCATTGCCGCGGTGGCAAGATCGTTTATAGAGGCCATGCTGAGCAGCCGCTGTTGATGTGCTAGCCGTGGCACATGAGGTTGATGACGGAACTTGGGTGGCGTCGAGAGAGGGAGGAGAGTGGGTTGCAGCCTTGGAGGTGGTGGGGTGAAGGCCGTCAAGTCAGTCCTTTGCCCGTGTGCAGTAGTCGCATGCGGTGGGCGCCATGATGTCGATTCACTTGCGCGAATGGATTTCATGCACCTCGGACCATTGTCAAGTACTGATTCGAACCAAAGCAATTCAATTATCGCACTGATTAATAAGACAGGTACCGCACTACCACTACTCCGGGTCACCGCTCAGGTACCGATGATGAAAACGCCAAACACCAATTGCTACCGAACACCCAATCCCATACACAGATCCAAACCCAAGCCCAAAACATACCAAAAAACCAAGCACGAACATGCGCCGCAATAAAGCCCAAACCCCAATCATCGTCTACTCATAAACATGACAATAAACACGTCATGAGCGCTCTGTTTCATCTTGAGCGCTCCCGCTCTCCCACAGATCAAAACTCTCGCCAGTGCCTTCAATGGGCCGCAGAACAGCTGCTTTCGAAGGTGACTCGGACTTGGCCATTAGCTCGTCAATATCCTTGCTGGGGGAGCTGGTTTTCACTAGTTCTGGGGCAAAGGCAAAGTCTTGCACGGCGTGTGCCTTGTCTGCACTCTGTTCCTGCTCTTCATCATCTGCAGGCACAATAATAACAGACGACTCATCACACCCGTCGGCATAAAAGTCGGCCGTGTTTATCTCGCCAAGTGCGATCCGCTCCTTCTCGACCATCATGTCATCAGCACCAGGGGCGCGAGCACGTCGTGCAGATGTTTGCGACACATCATCAGCAGGAGGGATGTTCTCCTTGTCACGGCCCTCGGCATTTTCTCGCCTTGCCTTCTGCTCACTCTCCTCATCTGATGAAATGTCCAAGACGCATGTGCCATGTTGAAGAAGGTTGGTCATCTCCTGCTCCGGAGTATCCTCGTGGATATCAAAGAACCAGCTAGCCTTCATGTCAGGCTCGCCGAGAGACGGTGCACTGCCTTGTGAGAGGGCATTGGAGCGAGGACGAGAGCCATAGCTGGAAATGGTGCCCTTGAGAGCGGCGTCGAGTGAAAAGGGAGCAGCAGAGTCGAGGGAGAATGAGGGGGGGTCAACGCGGGTGTAGGGGCCGGCAGTGCGTCGTCGGTTGGAAAGGATGCCCGATCTCTTTCCACGAGTTGGCGAACGGCCAGCAGGGGCAGAAATAGGCGACGACTTGCTGACATTGGTGTTGAGCTTGGCAATGGGAGACTTGGGCTTAAGGGTTCGCCGAGGTGCCGTAGAAGGCTTTACAGGGCTGGCCAAGGCTCGAACATGGGCACTGGGTGTAGTGGCGGCTCTGGTGAGAACGTATGAAATGGGCTTCTTCAAGATATCCTTGGTTGGGGTGCCCGAGGCGCCTTTGATGCGCTTAGCAAAGACGAGAGGGTCGACATTTTCGAAATCGTCGGTATCCAGGAGCTCAGCTTTGCGTTTGGTATTGGAAGGGGGTGCAATTGCTGCAAAAGATTAGCACCATTGTTTGGTATAGGCTTTCGAGGATCCTCCCGTGGCTTCTTCCCCATGACGAGACGTACCATTCTGTCTGTTCTTCAAGCTCGTCAAGCCCTGTAAACGAGCTCCGTCGAGGGGAGCAAAAGGCTGACGGGAAATAGTGGCCATGGCGACGACTGTCCAGCTCACAACGGCAGTTGAATTGATGGGGTTGATGGGAGCAAGATGATTGAGAGTGGTCACGAAAGGGAAGCACAATGGCTGCGTCGTCGAGAGTAGGCAAGGTCAAGTAAGTGTAGTGCGTTTGCTTCCTGGGGCCCAATCGAATGAATATACAGCTCCTATTGCAATTCCGGCTCTATTCCTGCTTGTAATCGGTGTTGTTTGTTGTTTATTGCTCGCATCCAAGAAAAGAAAATCGAGTGGTGTGGTGTGGGAAAGAGGGAGGAAAGTGGGATAAAGTGGAAAACGCGGGACGCGGCAGTATTAAGAGGGCCAGGACAGGGCTCCTGGGTTCGCTATGATCTGCAGACACAAAGACGACCGTCAAGGTGAAAGGGTAAAACAAGGCGGTGCCAGGAGTGCGATGTCGCGTTGCAGCGCTAGGGTCAGATTTATGGTCGACCAAAAGGGCCAGGGGGGAGGGAGGATTGGATTGGATCAGGAATTGGGCTGAGCTGCTCTTGATCTTGGCAGCGTTGGCCCAGGGTTGGCCTGAGAAATGGAGGGAGGTTCAAGGTGCTGCCGATTGATTCCAAGCGGTGGACGATGAGAAGACGGTGGTTTGATCAAGCGCGGAGCAGCAATGCCAACCAAGGACAGGAGACGGATGGACGACGCTGACACGGCTACTGCACGATTTGAAGCAAAAGAGGTGAGGAGAAGAGCGAAGAGCCCGCATGACCGGCGGCCGTGAGACCATTGAGACCATTGAGGCCTGCAACTCGGCAATCTGCAGCTCATTGGGTCGGGTCTGGTGGCTTTGAGACGCGTTCCAAGGACGTGCTTTTGGCCGGTGAGGGGAGAAGATGGAAGCCAGCTCCGTCACATTGACCATCATGTCACTTTGTATTGACCTCGACTTGCACAAAAGTCGAGCGGCATCATCAGACGATCACAACGTACATCTGTCCATCTGTCCAACTGTCCATCGACCTATGTAATTCAAGCTCCTTCTACGCTGTATCTCTCGTGTCACCCGCGCGCCTGCCTGCTCGACAGACCCACCCTCAGCCGACCGCAATCTCAACCATCTTGACCATCTCGACCCCCCTGCATCGACGTGTTGAACCATCTCTCTCATTCCACATATCATTGGTCCGCTTCGTCCGTCCACCAACAGGGATCACCTCGGCTAAGCCCACAATACTCCATCCTTTGTGCCTCACCAAGGTTCATGCCCGCAAATCTCGCGATTTATAAAAGCCCTTTTATGCCCATCGTGTCTCCCTCGCGCGTCCAACGTGCCGCGTCCTTGCCCTTCATTGCCCACAAGGACTCGAGTTCTACAGTAACTAATATCTGCTGCTTCTACTGCTCCGCACTCCGTACTCAGTACTATGTAGTTCATTAACCCCTACCCGCTGTCCGGAAGGCAAGCCGTAGCCTCGACACCATTGGTTTGCCATTCCACTCGATGCCTACTTAAGTATTCTTCTCGCCCGTGCCTCGTGACACTGGTCTGTCCATGTGGTCTGGCCGAGCCCATCACGATGGCCTCTCGACAGACGAGCATTACCCCGTTGCCGCCGTCGCAGCAGATGCCTTGATTGCAGCACTCATCCCCAAGCCAAAGTCAAACTCCCTCTTCTCAACATCATCCATCCATCCACGCATGGCCGCCTCCGCGCGGCCCTGGCCTCAAACCCATCGTGACGCCCACCAACAGACTGGCCATGCGCGACGTCGCAGTCAAACCAACAATACGCACCTACACCGCCCACCAGGGCGCGATAACAGGTCCTGAGAAAGTCCGCAGCCCGCAAAGTAGAAATAAAGACTACAAAGTCGCCACCTCTAACGTGCCGGCTACCTCGTCACGGGTCCGCGACCAAGCACAGTAGCCCGTCACAGACCAAAGTACTCCTGGTGCCTTGGCTTGCAATCCCGTCACAATACATGTTATAGCACGCGCCCATTTCCCCTCGCGTAGTTGACCCATCCAGTCTCAACTAGCCCCGGGTCCCAAACATCGAATACACCCTTGAGCTCGCCGACGTCAACTCGCCAGCTGGCTTTATAATACTCATCAGACATCATACACTAGCCGCCAGACGGTACATCTGATAACTAACATGCAAACACAACCCATGCCAATCATCAGCCGCCTTCGCAGCCGCTCCAGGAGTATCATGCTGCCTGGCCCATGCATGTGAACTCTTGGCCTAGGCACCACGCCCAAGCTCCTCCCAAGTTCTTCAACCACGTCGCACATTGCCCGAGGCTTGTCATGTCCATTGGCTCGCTCGTCGTCGATGCTGCCTACGCCAATGCTCTGTGGAGTAGATAACATTCCCTTACTTCATGTGAGAAGTCAGCTTTCCATGGCAACAACTGTTGCTCAGCGGGACGCTTAGAACGGGTTGAAATCCACCAAGTCCGCTTCATCCACACAATATCGTCAAGTCAAACACGTTAAAACGTTCTCCTTAGAACTTCCACCCAATTTTCATCATTTGACCTTGTCACAGCAGACCGATATGCGCACGTCACGTCACATTTGTCAGGAACGTAATGTGGACGTATACTCTGGGACTAACAATTAACACTACTACCATAAAGCTATTCCAAGACTAGAAAATACTTCGTGTCCTTTCAGAACACCATCCGAACCAGCACTTGCCGTTGCCCTTCGTGTTTCAGTCCTTGCTAAGTTCGTGCGAAGCCATTCTCTTGCCAATGACTGATACGGGCTTGTGTGAGTCAAGGCCATGTTTGCCATGCCCTGCATGACCTGTAGCAACAAGATCATCTGTTTCCATACCATGTGCCCAAGATCTGCAGCCTGATCCAACTGTACCGTCATCCTTCAACTGATGAGGGGGTTCTGTCCCACGAGATTTGACCACCTCATGAGCATGAATGTCATGCTTGGTAACGGCGCAACCTCCAGTTTCGACCAACGCGTCTTTATCGAGGACGTGGTGGTGATCAACTTGGCTTGACTGCACCGGTTGATGAGCGTGCAAGTCATGACGAACCACTGTCTTTGATTCGGCTACAGGGTCACAGCACAGTAGGTGAGGGGACCCTCGGCCGGAATTGCTGGTAGAAGTAGTGGGGTCCTGCTGAAGCTGGTGCGAAGAGCTGTGCCCACGATGATGAGTTTTGACATCTGATTTCAGGTCGTGGGCGGAGCGAACACTGCCCGTGACAACCAATTCATGATCCTCAAGCGAGTGCTTGCCCACTATCGTTGCAATTGCAGACTTCAGCTGTTTGAAGTCTTCCTTCT